TCTTAAAAACTTTGTTGTGCTTTTGTTTTTTAGAAGTGAAATAAAAATTATTAGTGATAAGCATAAACTTCAAATTTGGTAGAATTGAGACAAAGACCAAAGTAGCAAGTTTTTAACATTAAATTGGGTGCTTATTAAGTTTAGCTGTTTTTCATTTCAGTTGTGAATGAAACAATCAGACTCGAAGAACTTGTACAAATACATAAACTGAAAAGTGGGATGCAACCAGGTTTTGTAATGTTTTATCTCAGTGGAAATGTATGTCTCCTCTCCTACATTGTCTCCCTTTTCTTGGTTTGGCTTTCCCACACTCTGTGTTCTGTGTCGTTTGTGGGAACCTGTGTGTAGGAGAGTAGGGCTCTGCCCTTCACTGTCCTCTCTACATTGCTGTCACCTCATTTATCAAATGACTAATACTTCAGCAAGATGCCATGAAGATCATGTAAGATTTCTGAACAGCAACTAGTATAGTGTCTGGCATGGAGTAGATCTTCAAAGAGTTTTTATTTTAAATTTTATTTTCTCATTCCTTCAGAAAAGAAATTTTTCATTCTATAAAGCGTATTGCATTTAACAAAAAATATTTGAACAGATATGTATGCTAGGCACTATTGTAAGCACTGGGAATAGAGATGTGGACAAGGATTCCTCAGGAATTTATATTCTAGCAGAGGAGATGGGTGATCAACAAGTATATGGATCTACATAATAAGGGATATCTAGTGACTGTGGGAGGGAGTTTGGCATCACTGGCTGTTTAAGGTCGGGTGGTCAGGGAAAGCCTTGAGGAGCAGGTAGTGGTTGAGCAGAACTTGAAATTAAGTGAAGGGTTGAGCAACTTGAAGATGAAGAGTCTGGAGAGATAGGGCTAGCTTTTATGAATTCTTTAGGTGACGGTAAGATAAGAATTTAAGTGTGATGAGAAGCTATTGACAAGTTTTGAGCAGGTTCAAGAAGGGATCTAAGATTCTGAAAAGATCTCTTTGAGATGAGAATAGATAGTGCCACTACATTGCAGAACTCTAGGGTATACCAGTTCATGGAATTTAAGGCACTGCCTTCAAGTTGTACAGCTGTGAGAATAGACTAAAGGGGCAAGAGTAGAAGCAGGAAGTTGGGAGTTAGGAGGTTGTGGCAGGGGTTCAGGTTTAAATAAGGTTGTAAACTAAAAGGTAATATGGAATGTAGGTAGTATTTATTCAACATTATTTAACCAAGTTCACAAATCCTATCTAATAATAGACAAACATGGTAATTAACCAAACCTCCGCTATGCTTCCCATTGGCTAATCAGCAGGATATGCAAATTAATTGCCAACAAAGAAGGTGGCCGGCAGCCACACAGCTGAAGCGAACATGAGGCTTGCTTGCTCCAGTGATGGAGGAAGCCAAGGTTCCCCGCCTGCCGCGGCCCAACTCTGAGCTCCGGAAGCAACAATGTTGCAATTATAGAAGCTAAACAAACCCCAGATACCTGCTTTCAGCCAGCCACAGCCTCAGAGCTTAGAGCGCCAGTGATGGCAACAGAGTTTCAATTATAGAAGCTAAACAAACCCAGATACCTGCTTTCAGCCAGCCACGGCCTCAGAGTTAGAGCCGGCTCTCAGCTCCAGTACAGCTATAGAAGGTAAATAAATCCCAGAAAAAAAAAAAAGAGGCTGGGAGCTTCAGTCGCCCGCCAGCCTGAAAACGGCCCTCAGCCCCTCACCCAGACTGGCCAGGCACCCCAGTGGGGACCCCCACCCTGAAGGGGGTACGACCAACTGCAAACAGCCATCAGCCCCTCATCCAGGCTGGCCAGGCACCCAAGCGGGACACCCACCCTGATCCGGGAAACCCTTCAGGGCAAACCAGCCGGCCCCCACCCATGCACAAGGCCTCTATCTTATATAGTAAAAGGGTAATATGCAAACTGACCCTAACAGCAGAACGACTGGGAATGACTGGTCACTATGACACACACTGACCACCAGGGGGCAGACGTTCAATGCAGGAGCTGCCCTCTGGAGGTCAGTGCGCTCCCACATGGGGGAGCTCTGCTCAACCACAAGCCAGGCTGATAGCTGCCAATACAGCAGTGGTGGTGGGAGCCTCTCCTGTCTCCTCAGCAGCGCTAAGGATGTCCGACTGCAGCTTAGGTCTGCTCCCCGCTGGCAAGTGGATATCCCCGAGGGCTGCCGGGCTGCCAGAGTGATGTCTGATTGACAGCTTAGGCCTAAGCCAGCAAATGGTCATCCCCCGAGGGGTACCAGACTGCGAGAGGGCACAGACCGGGCTGAGGGACCCCCCCTTCGAGTGCACAAATTTTTGTGCACCGGGCCTCTAGTATCTATATATATGTTAAAAGCCTAAGCATCATTACAACTGGTCGACCAGTCGCTATGACGTGCACTGACCACCAGGGGGCAGATGCTCAGCATAGGAGCTGCCCCTGGTGGTCAGTGTGCTCCCACAGTCAACCTCCTGCAGCCCCGCCCGCTGGTCAGCCAACCTCCCACGGTCCGTCCCCGCTGCCGGCAGGCCAACCTCCTGGGGTCCCTTCCCCCTGCCAGCAGGCCCCCCAATAGGCCTTGATCACCATCCAGGCTGAGGGATCCCACCTGTGCATGAATTCATGCACTGGGCCTCTAGTATCAATATAAAAAGAGAGAAGACATGAACAATTCATAAGTTAATACGTTGGTCTACCAGTAATTGCTCTAGTAATAAAAAGAAAGCACATTAAACAAGAAGACTGTTTTGATTAAATTAACTATTTTAAAGTTGTAATGCTCAATACTGGGAAGGACAGGATGATATGGAAACTTTCAAACTTTATTGGTGAACATGAAATGGTAGAGCATTTCTGAAATGCTAGTAAGCCTAAGGCCTCAAGACTGTTTTTTTTTCTACTTCCGCAATTCCTCTTCTATAATAACTCAATCAGAATAAAATATTCAAAAATCAATGTTCATTTAGTGAATGCTATTAGTGGCAACACCAAAGTATGCATCCACTCATTCACCCTAATTTTCA